CAGCCTTTAAATAATAAAGTTATTTCCCAAAATACATCATTATTTTACCATTTTGAATTGTATCAAATCAAATTTGTTCTTTAAAAAAAAAAAAAACACCCAAAACTTGTTTTAAAATGAAATATAACCTATTCAAATACGGTATTTCCTTTTTTTCCCTTTTCCACTGCCAATCTAAGTAACAGAAAGAGACTCTCTAAAGAAAATATTTATTTTGGAGTAGCAATGCAATGGGAATATGTGTGATATAGCAAACTATATGCCTATTTAAGGAGGTTGGGGCAAGGGCTGTTTTTAAGGACAAAATGAGAAGAATTACATAAATTATTTTGAATCAGTTATCATTGGCTACAAGGATGAGTCACAAAGGTGGCATCAGTCCAAGGTTGGATGGGCAGTTGCTGGTCAGATGTCCTTACAGAAGTATCTGTGTATGTGTGTGCGTAAGGTTGCAATGGCCTTTGTGCAAGGTTGTGTTTTTTGAAATCTCATGATCTTTTTAAAAAAAGTTTAATGGGTACATAGTAGGTGTATGTATTTATGGAGCACATGAGATATTTTGATACAGGCATACAATGCATAATAATCATATCAGTAAATGGTGTATCCATCACCTCAAGCATTTATCATTTATTTGTGTTATGTTGGGAAAAGCTGCAAAGGAGAAAGGACTTACAGAGTGCCTACATAAATTGGTTATGAGTAACATATAAACAAGGAACAACAAACTGCGGAAGGCTGCAGGAGGCCTCTGAGGAGGAAGGTCTCTCCATGCCTCATGTTCCAGTGTAGGGTGACCTGGACTCTGTTACCATAAACATTGTGCTCAAGGACATAAAACCCCTTCGTAGCACTGTGACATAGCCAGACTTGTAGGCTCTGTGTAAGGCCCGGGTTCCATCAGCTGTACATAGATAATAAGCTAAAGATAACCGCATGTTCTTGTTTTGTGAAACTCCCAAACCACCACTGTTATCAATCCTTAGGATGACACACCAGCTCTGGTTCACTAATTCACTTCCGGCTCACTGATTCACTCCACCATCACTCCACCCCTACCCTGTAGATCAAAGTGATTGTAATCAATAAATAATGTGGATGATTAGAGCTGGGGCCTTCACTGTCACCTCCAGGGTAATAAAGTGTGGTCCCCTGGTCCCACTTTTTCTCTTAATCTTTTTCTCATTCCTTTGTTGCCACCGGGTACCCATGGGTGATGTAGGGCTGGCTCCCAACAGTGTTAGAAACATTACAATTATACTCTTAGTTATTTTTAAATGTACAGTAAATTATCATTGACTGTAATCACCTGCTGTGCTATCAAATACTGTATCTTATTTATTCTATCTAACTATATTTTTGTACCTATTACCCATCCCCACACCTACTGCTATCCTTTCCATCCTCTGGTAACCATCATTTTACTGGATCTCCACAAGATCAGTTGCTTTAATTTTTAGCTCCCACAAATCGGTGAGAACATGGGAAGTTTGTCTTTCTGTGCCTAGCTTATTTCACTTAACAATGTTCTCCAGTTCCATCCATATTGTTGCAAATGACAGGCTCTCATTTTTCTTATGGCTGAGTAGTACTCCATTGTGTACCTATAGGACATTTTCTTTATCCATTTGTCTGCTGGTAGACTCTTAGGTTGCTTCCAAATCTTAGCTATTGTGTATAGTGCTGCAATAAACATGAGAGAGCAGATATCTCTTTGCTATGTTGATTTTCTTTCTTTTAGGTGCATATATACCTAGCAGTGGGATTGCTGGATTATATGGTGGTTCTATTTTTATTTATTTTTAATTATTATTTTTTTTAGAGATGGGCTCTCACTATGTTGGCCACGTTGGTCTTGAATTCTTGACCTCAAGCAATCCTGCCTCAGTCCCCTAAGTGCTAGGATTACAGGTGTGAGCCACTGCAGCCAACCAGGAATTGTATTTTTAGGTTTTTGAGGAACCTCCGTACTATTCTTCATAGTGGGCTGTAGTAATTTACATTCCATCTAACTTTTCTCCATCCTCAGCAGCATTCATTATTGCCTGTGTTTTGGATAGAAGCCATTTTAACTGGAGTGCGATGATATCTCATTGTAGTTTTGATTTGCATTTCTCTGATGATCAGTGACATTGAGCACCTTTTCATATTACCAGCTTGCCATTTATATGTCTTTCTTTTGAGAAATGTCTGTTCAGATCTTTTGCCCATTTTTAATTTGATTATTGGATTTTTCCCTGTTACGTTGTTTGAGCTTCTTATATACTCCGCTTATCTATCCTTTGTCAGCTGAAGTGTGATAGTTCTTCTTATCAGGCATTTGTACATGAGAACCCTCTCTTCTTGACCTTACCTGGCTCCATTCGTCAGGATTTTAACACAAGTGACTCTGTTTTGATTTTGACAACTGTCATGACTCCTTAAGTGCTACCTTTTTTGTATTACTTCTCCTGGTGTCATTGAGTGAGCCATTGTGAAAAAAACTTTTGCCTAATGGAGTTAAAAAAAACTATTTAGGAGAGCTGACCCAAGGGAAGACCCAGAAGATGCCTTGACATGATTACTTTTACTTAATCAGCCCTTTAGCAAATACCTATTAATGCCTAGCATGCAAAACGTTTGATGGTTATTTCCCAGCTCTAAAACTACCTTCTGTCTACTTTGTATTTTTTCCACATCACTGTACTGATGCCCTAAATTCTACTAATTAGGGATTAATTCATACAAATTATCTTTTCATTGAATTCTCTTTTAAATATGTACAGATGCCTGGGAAGGTTGAACAATTTGTTCACCCATTGTTGTAAATTATAACAGTTCAAATTTCTTCACAATTATCTTAATTGAGATAATCAGTTGAAGAGGGGAAAATTTGCTAGGAATTAGGGAGAAGGGCTGAAAATGATGGGGGCAATTTGGGGGATGTGAGTAGAGGCTCATGGTAAGAGAGGAGCCCTGGGAATAATAGGCACAAAAAGGAGGTAAGATACCAAACAGGTAAAATTTCTATTTGTAAATTTTACCCAGGTACATTCAGAAAGGGGAGGAATCTCACTTTTACCTTTGTGTTTTGTGGCATGATCCCAGTGTTTCTAGGAGCCAGGCACAAGGCTAATATTATTAATCCTGAAGTTTCAAGAATAATATACTCAGTTGGCTTCTTGGAGGTTCAACTTTAGAAAAACTAATCATTGTTCTATAGGGAAATTCGTTCCAAATTTTAAACAACTGTTATTCATTCAACTAACATTTAGTGAGTACCTCTGTGTTCCAGGCACTGGGGTGTAGCATTAAAAACAGATAGAGCCAGGTGCAGTGGCTCACATCTGTAATCCCAGCACTTTGGGAGGCCGAGGCGAGCAGATCACCGGAGGTCAGGAATGCGAGACCAGCCTGACCAACATGGAGAAACCCTGTCTCTACTAAAAATTCAAAATTAGCCGGGCATGGTGGCACATGCTTGTAATCCCACCTACTCAGGAGGCTGAGTCAGGAGAATTGCTTGAACCTGGGAGGCAGAAGTTGTGGTGAGGTGAGATCACACCATTGCTCTCCAGCCTGGGCAACAAGAGCTAAACTCCATCTCAAAAAAAATAAATAGTGGACAGGACAGAAGTTCTTGCTTCCTGAAACCAAACATTTTATTCAGGTAGTATAAGTACTATGGAGGAAAATTAAGTAGATTATAGTGTGAGAACTAGTTGGGGGAGCTGGACATTTTAGCTGGAGTGGTCAGGGAAGATTTCTCTGATTGAGTGGGTAATCACTTGAGCCTGGAAGGTTGAGGCTGCAGTGAGGCAAGATCATACCAGTGCACTCCAGCCTTGGTGACAGAGCAAGCCTCTGTCTCAAAAAAAAAAAAAAAGCAAGAAAGCATGGAGATCAACTCGAAGCCTGTTGCATTGGCAAGAGATAATGGGAGTGGGTATTGTTTTTTAAGTTAGGGCTTGCAAATCAGATGTCCTGGATCTGGGGTTTGAGGGAAAGAGAAGAATCAAGGAGGATACATAGGTTTTTGGCCAGGGCAGTTGTGGAAATGTAACATCAAGATGGGAAAGCCTCTGAAGGGAGCAGGTTTGGAAGGGGAAGGTTATCAAGAGTTTTGTTTTGGATGTGTTAATTTTTAGATGCCTCTTAGATATCCAAGTGAAGCTATCAGTTAAGCAGCTAGATACAAGAATTTAGAGAAAAGAGTTTCAGAAAAGAGGCTAGGTAAGAGGATATACATTGGCCAGAGTATAGAAGATATTTAAAGCTATAGGGCCAGATGAGATTACCTGGGAAGTGGAATGTAAAAATAGAAGAAGACCTAAAATTCCAAGGTTTTAGAGGTCAACAATAAAAGTAAAGCCAGCAAAAGAGACTTGAAAGAATACCCTGTGAGACAGGAGGAAAACCAGGATGGTGCGGTGTCTAGAACACAGAGAAGTGTTTCAAAGAGGGAGTGGTTACTTGTGTTGAATGCCACTAAGGAGTACTATAAAATGAGGACTGGTGTTGACCAGTGGGTTTAGGAATGTGGAGCCTGCTAGTGATCTTGACATGCAGTTGCAAGAAGCAAGAAGGCAAAAGCAAGAATGGACTGTGTTAGAGAGATGATAAGTACCCATCACCAGAACACTCAGCCCTTAAGAGTTCTCCTGTAACTTCAGCATTTATCAAGGCAATTTTTTTTTTTAAAGACAGTTCTGTTCTGTCATACCTGTAATCCTGGCACTCTGGGAGTCCGAGGCAGGTGGGTCACAACGTCACAAGTTCAAGACCAGCCTGGCCAACGTGGTGAAACTCCATCTCTACTACAAATACAAAAAAATTAGCCAGGCATGGTAGTGGTAGTCTCAGCTACCCAGGGGGCTGAGGCAGGAGAATCGCTTGAACTCCCCTGGAGGCAGAGGTTGTAGTGAGGTGAGATCACACCACTATACTTCAGCCTGGGTGACAGAGCTAGACTCCATCTCAAAAAAAAAAAAAAAAAAAAAAAAAAAAGACAGTTCTTTTCCTAAGTGAACCTTTAATGCTCTCTGTTAAGTTAAAGTGTCTTCACTTCGTGGCAGAGAAATAAATGCCAAAATGTCTTGCATAGAGAATAATTATATAAGTTGAACATCTCTAATCTGGAAATCTAAAATGCTCCAAAATCCGAAACTTTTTGAGCACCAACATGATTTTCAAAGGGCATGTTCAAAGGAAACGCCCCAGGAGCATTTTGGACTTGAAATTTTGGGTTAGGGATGCTCAACTAGAAAGTATATAGTGCACATAGAGTATTCCAAAACTTGAAAATATCTGAAATCTGAAATACTTCTTGTCTCAAGCATTTTGGATAAGGGATACTCACTGTGTAGTACAGTAAGTAGTTCAGAGCGTGGTTTTAGAAACAAGATCAGTCCTTGGTTGAATCCCAGCTCTGCTACTTTTTAGCTATGTGACCTCAGGTAGGAACTTCAGTTTTTTATCTGTAAATGGAGATAATTATAGCGTCTCAGTGTGGATGTGAAGATTAAATGATATATTAAGCACCGAGGACAATGTGTAGAACTAACTACTATTAACATTAATTTCGTTGCAGGGACAAAATTACTAATTATATGTATTTACAATTTTCCTTTCCCTTACTTTGTAAGAAGAGTGGTTCCTGAGCAAGTTTTTAACATTTTTTGAGGAGGTATACTGGTTGTCTACTGCTGCATAACAAAGTACTATAAACTTTGTGGCTTAAAATAGCATAATCCAGGATCTCACACTTTTCTGGGTCAGAAGCCTAAGCATGGAGTAGCTGGGTTCTCTACTCAGGGTCTTACAAGGCTGATATCAAGGTACTGCAGTTGTACGGCAAGGTACTGCTAGGCCTAGAGTCCATCTGGAGCTCCAGTCCTCTCGACCTCATTGGTTTTTGGCAGAGTTCATTTCCTGCAGTTGTGGAACTAAGGTCTTGTTTTCTTGGTGGCTGTGTGGATGTTAGTAATGATGTATGTAGTCTGGGCAACGATCAGGAAAGTTGGTAACGGGTGAAGTGAAGGGAAAGTTTGTGCAAAGTGAGGTCAAAGAAGTGAAAAGTCAGGTATTGGTATGCATGGACTTGAAGTTTGTCGTGAACAAGGGAGAGGATAGGAGCAATAACAACAAAGGTGACAGTGAGCTAGTTGCCAAAATTGTCAGTGAATTTAAAGTAGTACCAGGGAGGCTATAGGTCAGCACACCAGGGAGCATGGTGTCATCCCCCAAGGCGTGTGCTTCAGAGGAGCTGAGACGTTTGAGAGAGGAGGGAAGAGAAGCATTGAGGAACAAGGAGATCATCTGTCTCCTCTCCCATTCTGGACTCTGTGGTACCTGGTAGGTAAGCACTAAACAGGAGCAACAGTGGCTGCCAGGGAAGGCCTAGTCTCCATTAGAGAAAAGACATGCCAGAGAGAGAATGTTTTGTCTTTTAACAAAAATTTGAAAGTTAACTTCGTTTTATATTCAGATATGACACCTGCAGTTTTATCCTGGGAAACTCTATATGTGATTTATATTTCCTGCTTCTTATGCTCAGTGCATCTAGCTGATTAGCATCTTTGTTTTCATTTCTGTTTTCCAGTTCTCTTATTGATTTTTTTTTTCTCAAATCTACAGTTCCTAAAAATGGTCTTAATGAAAATCAGCACCATTTAAAGTGAATACTCCTAGACAGTCTTATTTCTTACCCTTCAACCACAATTGTAATCCCAGCTCTTAGCTTTTATCCTCTTACCACTCTGGAAGCAGCTTGAGGATCGTAGACATTAGGGGACTTGAGAGGAGTCAAGGAAGGAGAGAAAGTGGCAGATGGAATTTTCCTCATTATTACAACTTAGCCATGGGATGGGCCTGCCTATATATCTGTCTGTATGTATTGTCTGTCTAGCTCTGGGTTTTTGCTAGCTCTAATTCCCTTCCACCAGCCTATCACCATGTTTGTTCTTCCCATTCCATATACATGATATTAAAACACACGGCTCTCTTTTATTCCTTGTAGCTTCTTTCTTCTGGAGGGTTTACATTTCTTACAGACTATTTGACGAACTCTCTTGTTGTTACTATAGAAGTCACCTCCTTAAGTCAGACCTTGCTGTGCTCCCCATCCCTGCACAGTCCAGTAGCCTCCCCATGGAAGTCCTTTTCCTCTTGTCTGTAAGCATTAGGGATCCTCTTGATGACCTCTTCCCACTGCTTGTTGCATTTAAAACCCTCAACCCTAAGAATGCCATTGCTTTGATGATTTACTCAATAGCTGAGAGCAGATCATTTGCAGATTTTCCCCTCAAATGCAAACTTCTCTTGTTTAGTGTGTATAGGACATGTGAAAATACTGTCAACTTGAAGGACAAACTAAGCTTCCAGTAGAGTAGAGATAGAAATGGTGAAGACTGTATATTATGAAGTGAAGTCACCCTGTCCTTTACCGTTTGAATGACTTTGGACAAATCACTCAAGGTCTCTGAGCTTCAGTTTCTTCATCTGTCAAATGAGATAAACAGTACCTAACTGTGTGGTTGCTTTAAGGGTTAAGTGAAGTAATAATGCATGTAAAGCAACAATGTCTGGCTCTTGGAAAATACTTGGTAAATATTATTCTTTCCTCTATTCTCCTTTTCTCTCAACTCCTATCTAATCCAATTATCTTTTCATAAAATCTCCAGAGCTTTGGTGTCATCTTTTACTTCTTGTTATTCATCCCTTTTATCTGATTAGTAACTACATTTATTATTACTTCCTACAGGAAATATTAGACAGTCATGACTTCATCTCAGGCCCTACTTCCTGTCGGTATACACTGATATTCACTATTTCCCAGTCACTTTTGGTGCAGTTCTTTACCAGCCTTCCTAACATCTTCTCTAAAGACAGAATTTCAGAAAAGTTTTTCAGTTTTCCTTTGAACCTCTATAAGCAGTTCTCTCAACTCATAGTGTCTCTTACTTGAACTCCACAGTAGGTATAAAGATCTTATTTAGAGAGCCATAAAAATCCTGCAATGCCTTGTCCAGTTCACTTCTCTTTTTTTCTCTCTGGACTGCTTGTGTTGCAGCTAAACTACCCTCTCCACAGAATCTGCCCTCAGCCATCCTTCACCCATGCTGGGCCTCAACTCCCCCTGGACAGAATGGTTTACCTAACTTATTGCTGTTGTTTGTACAGCCTGACTTTGAAACTGAAAGTTAGCAAAGGAGAAGAATGTCATGTCCTTCACCTGTCCTCAAGCTGATCAGTGCATCACCCTTCATCCACTACACTGTGTGTTGAGGTAATAGGTTCTCTTGATTTTGAACCCAAGCCTCACTTCAAAGTGTAATACTTAGCCACTCCATCACCCCCACCACCACCAATATAACATTTGAAACTTCTGCCGAGTCAGTAAAAGGTTTTTGAATTGTGTGTATAGGTTTCTGCGGCACTGAAACAAGGCCAAATTACACCAACAGAGCTCTGTCAAAAATGTCTTTCTCTTATCAAGAAGACCAAGTTTCTAAATGCCTACATTACTGTATCGGAAGAGGTGGCCTTAAAACAAGCTGAAGAATCAGAAAAGAGATATAAGAATGGTAAATTACTTTTAATTATACTTCATTGTTATATCACCAGAGAAGGAGTTTAATTGGTTGTAGCAGTCTCCCTTTGGCAAGTGAAGCTTTAAACATAAAACATACCCTTATTTAAAGAACTTGCCATGAGGATAATAAAAATAAGGGTAATGGATATGTGATGCTTTATAATGTCCAACTGTATTAATTTCTGACATAAATATGGTTTCTGAAGAATCCTGTATGCCAAAAACTAGTAGTTACTGTAATAACATGTATTCATGTATGTTTATGTTTTAAACTATCTCCTTTATCACTCTTTTGGCCTTTTAATGCAGGACAGCCACTTGGGGATTTAGATGGAATTCCTATTGCAGTAAAAGACAACTTTAGCACATCTGGCATTGAGACAACATGTGCATCAAATATGCTGAAAGGTAAAATTTAACTGATCAGAGCATTCATAATTTTGTAAAAATAAGTATTTTTCACTTTTAGGATAACAAAGTACCAAGATAATTTCAGACTAATTGTATCTTTGAAGGAAATACTTAGAATATAATATCACCTTTTTCACTATTTGCTTTTTTAGAATGCAGAATTTTTCTTTAGAGGTAGGCCAGCTTAATGAACGCTACTTGAGAAGTTTTCAAAAATTCTATTAATATTTAGGAAGACTCAGTTCAATAACTAATTACGAGCTGGGTGCATACCTGTAGTTCCAGCTACTTAAGAGGCTGAGGCAGGAGAATCACTTGAGTTCACGAGTTTGAGTCCAGCCTGGGCAATATAGTGAGACCCCATCTCTAAAAAAACAAACAAAAAACACAAAAAACTGATCACCATGAACACACTATATAACCTCTAACTTGAGCTCATTGATAACATGGGAATGAATATGAACTGGTTATCATCAATACCCCTCTCTTGTGGATGATGTGAGGATTCATTAACATCTACTGACCAGTTATTTTTTATTTCCTAATTCCTCTATTTTTTATAGCACAATATGGCAATGCTTAGATTTATTCTTTAGAATTTGGTCACAAGGAATCGGGTTTATCAAGATATTTGGATCCTTGGAAGGAAGAGAAACAGAAAAAGGTTATTCAGAGCACTAAATGCTAAAAGTAATATTCTATGAGGAATATGCCCAACCTTCCTCTAATATTCAGACTGTTGTTAATTATTTTGGAGTATATACTAGGGCTTTTCAGTAGTTAGAGGAAATTTTAGTTGAAAATAAAGATCTATTTCTAACTGGAAATACATAAAAATTACTGTGTGGTATCACATCATCTGAGAAGAAAAAGTCAAGTACAATGAGCAAAATAGACATTTACTATTACTTTCATAAATACTAAGTACATCTCTATCATGTGATATTTTGTAGAACTGTTAAAGTCAGTGTTTTTAGATAATAAAAATAGTTGGCCAGGCACGGTGCCCCATGCCTTAATCCCAGCACTTTGGGAGGCCGAGGCAGGTGGATCACCTGAGGTCAGGAGTTCAAGACCAGCCTGGCCAACATGGTGAAACCCTGTCTCTACAAAAATATAAAAAGTAGCCGGTATGACAGCAGGTGCCTTTAATACCCGCTCTTCAGGAGGCTGAGGTGGGAGAATTGCTTGATCCCGAAGGCAGAGGTTGCAGTGAGCAGAGAAAAAAAAAGTGAATGTACAGATTATCTTTGGAAAACATACATTTAAGCAGTAGGAAAAAATTACTAGAAGAAAGTACAACCAATTATTTAAATTAGGAATAATTAATACATATCACTATGAATTGCTTAATTGCAGTTTGGACTGTTGTTTCTTTCTTTTTTTTGAGGTGGAATCTTACTCTGCTGCCCAGGCTGGAGTGCAGTGGTGCGATCTCAGCTTACTGCAACCTCCACCTCCCAGGTTCAAGTGATTCTCCTGTCTCAGCCTCCTAAGTAGCTGAGGTTACCGGCACGCACCACCACGCCTGGCTAATTTTTATATTTTTAGTAGATGTAGGGTTTCGCCACATTGCCCAGGCTGCTCTTGAACTCCTGACCTCAGGTGATCCACCCATCTCAGCCTCCCAAGTGCTGGAATTACAGGCATGAGCCACCACACCCTGCCAACTCTTGTTTCTAACATATGCTTGTTTCTTACATATGATTTGCATGTTCACTGTTTTGTTTCCTATTAAAAAAAAAAAAAAACTGGCCTTTTGGCAGGAACCACCATCTTCCAGTAATTCACCAAAATGACAAACACAAAGGGAAGGAGGAGAGGCACCCGATATATATTCTGTAGGCCTTTTAGAAAACTGGGAGTTGTTTGCCACGTACATGCAAACCTATAAGAAAGGTGATGTTGGCCAGGCGCAGTGGCTCACGCCTATAATCCCAGCACTTTGGGAGGCCAAGGTGGGCATGCCGATCATGAGGTCAAGAAATCAAGACCATCCTGGCCAACATGATGAAACCCTGTCTCTACTAAAAATACAAAAGTCAGCTGGGCGTGGTGACACACACCTATAATCCCAGCTACTTGGGAGGCTAAGGCAGGAGAATCAGTTGTACCCAGGAGATAGAGGTTACAGTGATCCAGGATTGTGACACCACTCCAGCCTGGGTGACACAGCGATACTCCATCTCAAAAAAAAAAAAAAAAGAGAGAGGTGATATTGTAGACATCAAGGGAATGGGTACTATTCAAAAAGAAATGCCCCACAAGCGTAACCATGGCAAAACTGGAGGAGTCTACAGTGTTACCTAGCATGCTATTGGCATTGTTGTGAACATACAAGGGCAAGATTCTTGCCAAGAGAATTAATGTGCATATTGAGCACATTAAGTACTATAGGAGCCGAGATTGCCTCCTGAAATGTGTCAAGGAAGCCAAAGATAAAGGTACCTGGATTCAACTGAAGTGCCAGCCTGCTCCACACAGCGAAGTGCACTGTGTGAGAACCAGTGGGAAGGTGCCTGAGCTGCTGGAGCCTATCCCCTGTGAATTCATGACATAATAGGTATAAACAAATAAAAGATCTCTGGACTGTAAAAAAAAATAATTAAATTTTTTTCAGGTTATGTACCCCCTTATAATGCTACAGTAGTTCAGAAGTTGTTGGATCAGGGAGCTCTACTAATGGGAAAAACAAATCTAGATGAATTTGCTATGGGGTAAGTAAAATTTGAGTTTCTTCTATCTGTGCCTTTATTTTCACTAAGTGTAGTTTCCTGAAAGGATTGAGGATCTAATGCCAGTTTCTTAGTCCCTCTGTGAGATTATGTTCAGTTTAATAGATATATAGTCATCTCTAATTTTGTTTTTAGTTTGTATTTCCCTGATGACTAATGATGTTAAACATCTTTCCAGGTGTTTATTTTGCCATCCTTGTATCTTCATCAGTGAAGCAGCTGTTCACATTCTTTGCCCATTTTTTGAAATTGGGCCATCTTCTTATTGCGTTGTAAGAACTCTTTCATGTATTTTAGACTCAAATCCATTATCAGACAGGTGCTGACTGGCAAATGTTTTCTTCAAGTCTCTGGTTTATCTTTTCATTCTCTGAAAATGCCTTTCAAAAAGTTCTTAATTTTGATAAACTCCAGTTAATTGATTTTCTTTCTTTTTGAGACAGAGTTTCACTCTTGTCATCCAGGCTGGAGTGCAGTGGTGCATCTCAGCTCACTACAACCTCCGCTTCCTGGGTTCAAGCGATTCTTCTGACTCAGCCCACCAAGTAGCTGGGACTACAAACACGCATCACCATGCCCGGCTAATTTTTTTGTATTTTTAGTAGCGTCGGGGTTTCACCATTTTGGCCAGGCTGGTCTTGAACTCCTAACCTCAAGTGATCCATCTGCCTTGGCCTCCCAAAGTGGTGGGATTACAGGTGTAAGCCACCCATACCTGGCCTTATTTTCTCCCCTTCCCTCACCCCTCCCCTCCTTTTCTTTTCTTTTTTTCCTTTCATAGAGATACAGTCTCACTGTGTTGTTCAGGCTGACCTCAAACTCCTGAACTCAAACTGTCCTCCCAGCTTGGTCCAACAAAGTGTTGAGAGGCAAAAGCAACCTGTGTCTGGCCCATTTTTTCCTTTATTTTTTAGAGATGGGGTTTCACTGTGTTACCCAGGCTGGTCTTGAACTCCTGGGCTCAAGTGATTCTCTGACCTCATCCTTCCCAGTAGCTGGGACTGCAAGCACACATAACCTCACCTGGCTTAATTTTTTTCTTTTATGATTCATGTGTCCTAAGACATCTTTACCTAACCAAAGGTCACAAAGACTTTTCCCCTACAAGTTTTATATTTTAGCTCTTACATTTAGACCTGCGACTCATTTTGAATTAGATTTTCATATATAGTATGAATAAAGTCCATTTATTAAACATACAGATATCCATTAATTCCAGCACTAATGATAAAAAAGATTATCCTTTCCTCATTGAATGATCTTAGATTTTTTTGTCAAAAATCAAGCCCATTCATGTGGGTCTGTTTCTGGACTCTGTTGCACCTCTGTTTATTCCAAGCCTTTAAATTATATAGTAAGAGTCTTCTAACTTTGTTCTTCTTTTTCAAAATCATTTTACGTAATCTAGATCCGTTGTATTTTGATATGTTTTAGAATAACCTTGCTAATTTCTACAAAGAAGTTTAATGGGATTTTGATTGTGATTGTGTTGAATTTATAGATCAACTTGGGAAGAATTGGCATTATAATACATGTCTTCAAATCCATGAATACCTAAATTTCTCCATTTAGTGAGATTTTGTTTTTCTCAGGAATGTTTTTATGATGTTCTGCATACAAATCATATATATAATTTGATTTATTCCCATTTTATGTTTCTTAATGCTATAGAAAATATTTTTTTCAGTTTCTAATTGTTTATTTCTAGTATGTTGAAACATAGTTGATTTTTCTATGTTGACTTTTTATCCCATAACCTTGTTAAAGCTCGCTTATTAGTTCTAGTTGGTCTTTGTGTATTCTATGGAATATTTTATGTAGCAGATTATGTAGTCTACGAATATAGCTAGTCTTATTTCTTCTTATTTCTTTTACTTGCCTTATTGTGCCAGTTAGGGCCTTAGTTGCGATGCTGAATAGAAGTAGTAAAAGCAGATTTCCTTGCCTTGATCCTGATCTTGGGGAAAAGCATTCAGTCTTTCACCAAAAATACTTTATACTTACCCTTTTATGACGCTTATTTATAATATTTGCTTGGTCTTTGTTCCCTGTTTCATAGAAACAAGAGTCCTTGACTGTATAGTTCAGTGGTATCTCTTGGAATTCATTAAATGTATGTTGAATGAACTAATCCATGGGAGTAAATTTGAACAAAGGCCTTTGTAGGACATTACCTTCGTCAGCTGATCAAAATTCATATCACCAGCGAGGGTGAAGTGGATGGTGTGCCTCCAGATGTAATTGTCTAAAGATATGATATCACCTATGTAATATTCCAGCTGAGAATGTATAACCTGACTCTAATAACAGAGAAACAAAAGATTAATCCAAAATGAGAACCATTCTATTAAAATATCATATGAAAACAAAAAGGGGCTGTGAAAATCTTCCAGGATGAGAGATAAAGAAAGCAAAACCTAACATCATAAAACTTAAGAAAATTTAGAGTAGGTCGGGCCTGGTGGCCCACACCTATAATCTCAGCACTGTGGGAAACTGAGGCAACAGGATTGCTTGAGCCCAGGAGTCCTAGACCAGCCTGGGCAACATAGTGAGACCATTCTCTACAGAAAAAAAAAAAAAAAAAACCAGGGAAAAATCTTTGTGCCCTTGAGTTAGTCAAAGGTCTTTTAGATAGGAAACATGAAGCACAAATCCACTTTAAAAATTAATAGATTAGACTTCATTAAAATTAAGAACTTCTGTACTTTGAAATATGCTAAGAAAATGAAAATGCAAGCCACAGACTGAGAAAAATATTTGCAAAACATATATCTGAGAAAGAATTGATATCTAAAATACATAGAGCATTGCCCACCTCAATAGGAAAACAATAAGAAAACAAGCAATTCTGTTTTTAAGAAATGAACAAAAGATTTAAGCAGACATTTCATCAAAGATTAAAACATAGTTGACAAGCACATGAAAAAATGCTTAATATCTTTGATCATTAGGGACATTAAAATTAAAATCACAATGAGCCTGGGCACGGTAGCTCACACCTGTAATCTCAGCACTTTGGGAGGCCGAGGCGTTAGATAGTGGACACCTGTAGTCCCAGCTACTCTGGAGACATGAGAATCCCTTGAACCTGGATCACTTGAAACCAGGAGAGAGGTTGCCGTGAGCCAAGATCATGCCACTGCATTCCAGCCTGAGACAGAGCGAGACTCTGTCTCAAAGAAAAAAAAGACAATGATAACTAAATGGAAGGCCTGACTCTAGATTTGATCCAGGAAGGGGATAAAATGCCATACATTATTGAATCAGTTGACACATTTGAATTACATATAGTACATTAAAGTATTGTATTAATATTAATGTTACTGAGATTGATAACTATACTGTAACTGTATAACATGATATCCTTATTCTTAGGAAATACACACTAAAGTATTTAGGTTTAAAGGGCTATAGTATATTTAATTTACCCTTAAGATACCCTTAAGTATCTACATATGTACAAACATACACAGAGCACACAAGTAATAAAGCAAATGGGATAAAATGTTAGCAATAGATACAGCTGAATAAAGGGTATAAAGTGCTTTAGACATGTTTTTATTTTTGCAATTTATTTGAGAATAAAATTTCAAAAATTTAAAAGTTATTAGCATTCCACTTGTAATGTTTTTCATAGAACTTCTGGTTTAGGGACAGATTTCCTCAGAAAACTTAATATTTGAATGTGACCCTTTTCAACTGGAAGACCTTGATTCACAAGGGAAATCGTCTTCAATCAAATTGGATGATTAAATGAGACAAAAATCTTTTCTCTTTTCTTAGCAGATTAGTTTTCTCTACTTTCTACCACCAGTGCTCTTCCTTCCCATCCTCCGAAACTGTCTAATTAATGAAAGCTACATCTGAGCAGGCTTCCCACCTTTTGCAATTCAAGCTACAATGGGTTCCTAAATGCTCAATGAGTGTTAGAAGCAAATAATATACTCAGAAGATGATATTTTCACATAAAATGAAAGTTTTACTAAGGTATCTTGCTTCACTTCATCAGATCTGGAAGCACGGATGGTGTATTTGGACCAGTTAAAAACCCCTGGAGTTATTCAAAACAATATAGAGAAAAAAGGAAGCAGAATCCCCACAGCAAGAGTGGAGATTCAGACTGGCTGATAACTGGAGGAAGCTCAGGTGGGAGTGCAGCTGCCGTGTCTGCGTTCACATGCTATGCGTAAGATGCTTTTCTCTGTCTGTATTTTAAAACCCAACCAAATACAAACAGTCATAAACTATATGTAAAATGCAGCAGTAGAGTAGTTCATACCTTGGTATTTTTAGTTTTAGTGAGCTATGTGTGCTCAAAGGTAAATCAAAATTGTATCTTGTAATTGCACTCAACTGTACAGTACACTATGTATATTTTATACTTCTAACTTAAATATTTGTTAAAATAACATTTTTGTGCATAGTATCTGGTTCTCTTAAAATATGATTTTATAGATCTTGCAGAATAAAGCATTGAGCATAAATGAACTTAATTGCATTTCGTTTTTTAAGTAATTTGAGTGTCTGCTCACTGATTGTACAAATATTTAGGGACTAACATACAATGGCTTTAGTTAAGTGCTGCTGAGCTAAACTGTTAGTAATGTTTATCCTTCAGCAAGATCAGATTTTTGGGGAAAAAAAGGAATAAAAGAAAAGAAAACACGCTAATATGTATTCATAAGATATTTTAAATAGTGTTTTCCTAAATATGCAATTAAACATGTGCATCAGTAAGTAAAGTTTTTTCAAGCTTGTTAGGTGCTGATTGTTTATCTGTCACACTTTGTATTTGGTAAGAATCCATTGATCATACTCTCAGTCCCATTTGTAATGCATTTCTTAACTACCCGAAGAAAAGAAAGCAAATATGGCCATTCCTATATTTATCAGTATCAATTTAATCAAAATGAATGTGTTTCTTTAGTAATATTGTTGTATTTTATCTCCCCTTAATTATCCACTAAAACTAAGTTCTTTCACACATGTTGCAACCATAAATTATTTATAGTTTTTTAGAGCTATGGAGATGTGAGTTCTACAGATTTTTTTTCAGTTTTCCTAAAATCTTATTAACAAGTAAAACCATTTCATTTTATCTCTGTGGAATTTTATAGCATTGCATTAATATTAATGTGAGTTCTGACAAGTTAGGACTGCAGGATTAGGTGCTTTTTTTCTGTCCTCATCATCCCACTTAGTGTTCATCTTTCTGAATGTGCTTTGAGTAGATGGCATTTTGACACATAATTCCTATGGAAATGTAAGTTTTACTTTTACATAGCCGTCAGTGAATGCTAATAAGAAAATGTATCTTTTAAAATTGTGAAAGCAACAGTCTGATTTTGTAGCTTAAATTGACACTGTAAGAAAGGAAATATAATTTGCATTTTCTGTAGAGCACAAATGCCATGTTATTGTTAGGAGCATTCTTCTGTCCAAAGCTTTGCTTGAAATGTAAGCAATAGAAGCACAGACCAAAAATAACTTCAGACTAAGTGTATCCCAAACTGTGAAGTGTTCTGCTTTTGTTTCCCCGGTTTTTATTTGTTTCCGCCTTTTTGATTTGTTTCTTTTACAATAGTTTTTTAAAACAGGAAGATTCCTGGAGTACTATGCAGCCACTAAGAAAAGAATAAGTTAGAGCACTATGTAATGACATGGAAAAATAACCAAGATAAATTGTTAGGCGAAAAATAAGTTACAGAACCCATTTCTGTTAAAGGTAACAGTTGCATACCTATATATGTCAGTCATTGCATGGAAATACTGAATGTCAATATTTTTAATTTTTATAGTAGGTATGTACTATTCAGCACAATTTTTGTTTTCCTGAAATGGTTTTTCAATTGTGGTAAAATGCACATAACATAAAATTTACCATCTTAGCCATTGTTAAATGTACAGTTCAAAAGTATTAAAAACATTGTTTTGCAATCAGTCTCCAGAACACTTTTCATCTTGCAACTCTAAAACTGTATACCCTTTAACCCTCCTCCCAGCCCTGGTAACCGCCTTCTCCTTTCTGTCTTATGAATTTAATTACTCTAGTTACCTCACGTACATGGTGTCATATAGTATTTGTCTTTTTGTGACTGGCTTATTTTACTTAGCATAATCTCCTCCAGGTTAGTTTTTTGTTTTGTTTTGTTTTTTAAATAAGAACAACTCCAACTCTGTAGGTAACTAGATAAAGAAATGAACTTTGTATTGAATAATGCATGTACAAATAAGTGTGAAAAATTATTCAAAATGCATGTTAATAAAAACTTCGTGGTTATAAAATTTTAAAAACTACTAGTACTCAGTGATAGTACTAAAACTTTAAAACACAATCTGACTCACTGCAACTGGGAATATAAATTGGCATAAACTTTCTGACAAGTAATTTGACAACATATATCAGAAACTTATGTGCACTAACTCTACTTCTGGAAGCTAGCCTAAAATGTACTCAGACACATAGGAAAAAATTTATGTTCAAAGGTTTTCCTTACAAATTTACTTATTAAATAGTTATTCTAGTTAGAAACAACCTAAGTGTTTAAGTATATTATTATACATCTCTATCCATGATTCTAAATGGGGTGGGTAGCAAAGGGCTGTATCTGAATTTCTAGGAGGGGTATATTTAGTTTGTAAAAGCATACTGTAAAATTGCCATTAATTTGATTTGTTTTCAGTATCAACATCAGAGGAAAGTATAAAATTTATATGTATTTTGAAAGGAGAATGGACTTTCAAATATCAGGAATCACCAATTTATATGATGGAATATTACATATACTTTACATTTTCAGGAATTTTAATGACATAGTAAAAGGCTTATTAAAAAAGGGATGCAAAGTCATGATTAGAGAATCATCTTAACTATGAAAAAAATGCATTTTTAAAAAGACTTGAAATTAATATGCCAAAATGTTAACAGTGTTTGCCTCTGGGTATTGAAATATTGAGTACCTCTTGTAGTTTTCTCTACTTTATGAATTCTCTGAGATGAACATGTGTTACTTTTGTGTAATCAGACGAAAATACAGTTTAAAAATGTACAATTGAAAGGGCAGATTCCAAATATAATTAGAGATATATCATTCTTCTCAAGATAATTCCATTTAAATTCCAGGGCTTTAGGATCGGATACAGGAGGATCCACCAGAAATCCTGCTGCCCACTGTGGGCTTGTTGGTTTCAAACCAAGCTATGGCTTAGTTTCCCGTCATGGTCTCATTCCCCTGGTGAATTCGATGGATGTGCCAGGAATCTTAACCAGATGTGTGGATGATGCAGCAATGGTGTTGGGTATTTATATAATTCTATATCATTTGCAACAGTTTCACTATAAAACAAATATGTCTGTCATTCATAAGTATTGCTCCTTACAGGTGTACTGGCTGGACATGACCCCAAGGATTCTACCACAGTACATGACCCTATTAATAAACCACTTGTGCTTTCCAGTTTGGCAGATGTGAGCAAACTATGTATAGGAATTCCAAAGGTAACTTCTTCCTTTCATACTTTAGAAAAATACTGTCAAATCCAATAGAGAGCACAGACTTAGGAGGCAGATTGGTTGGGTTTGAATCTCTGCTCTGAGTGCCGCTTTTATTAGTTATGTGAGTTGAGTATGTGACTTAATCTCTTTAAGCTCAATTTCCCCATCTGTAAAATGGGAATAATAAAAGTATTGACTTCAAGGAGATTTGTGAGGATCAATTAGACAGTCACGTTAAGTCTATAAATGTTTTCTATAATGGGCGAGATAGTAAATATTTTAGACTTTGTGAACCATACCGTCTTTATTGTATTACCTAACTCTGCCATTATAGTGAGAAAGCAGCCACAGACAATATGTAAATGAAAAAGTATGTCTCTGTTCTAATAAAACTTTATTTTCAAAAACACCTGGCTGGTCACATCTGGCCTATGGGCCATAGTTTGCCCATCCCTAATGTAAAGAAAGGACTTAGCCCAAAGCCATACCTTGCATAGTAATGCCTCAGAAAACATTAACATCTTTACTGCTATTATTATTACTACTGCATCTATTACAGTAGCAACTGCATAAAGAATACATGAATGTAGTACTGTTAAATTACAGACCTTTTAAAAATATTAAGCCTTGCAATATATTAATACTTTAAATCTTTTAGGGAGATAAGTTACCCTGCAGCATAATGAAGTTTCACAACGTCAGCAATATGGGTGTTGGGGACTGGCAATTGTTTGCTGTGGGAGAGACTGTCCTGTGCATTGTAAGATGTTTAGTAGCATCCCTGGCCTCTGCCCCACATGTGAGGAGTACTCCACCACCAAAACCACAACCGCACAACCAAAAATGTCTGTAGACATTGTCAAGTGTCTCCTAGTTAGAGAAAAGGAGACAAAAGTGACCCCCAGGTGAGACCACTGCTATAGAGAACTACTACTTTATTTTAAATCTTCCATTAGGCTAATATATGTAAGGCCAGGTGCAGTGGCTTATGCCTGTAATCCCAGCACTTTGGGAGGCCAAGGCAGGAGGATCGCTTGAGATCAGGAGTTTGAGACCAGCCTGGGCAACATACAGAGACCCTATCTCGACAAAAAGTTTTTTAAAAATCGTGGGGTGTGGTGGCATGCACCTGCAATCCTAGCTGTTTGGGAGGCTGAGGTGAGAGGATTACTTGAGCCCAGGAGGTTAAGACTGCCATGAGCCATGATTGCACTACTGGACTCCAGCCTGGTTGACAGAGCAAGACCCTGTCTCAAAAAAAAAAAAAAAAGAAGTAAAATCTATGCATTCTTTAAGAATTTACATAGAGCACAGGCTTTAAAACAGACCCAGTTTGAAATCCTAGACCCTCTACTTACCTGCTATTTAACATTAGGAAAGTAACTTCTTATGTCAAGATTTTTTATTAACAAAATGAAGGATTATAATACCTACATCATGGGCTTGTTAAAAGCATGAGATGAGAGAACCTTTAAAAGTCATCTAGGCCAGGCGCGGTGGCTCACGCCTGTAATCCCAGTACTTTGGGAGGCCGAGGCGGGTGGATCACGAGGTCAAGAGATCGAGACCATCCTGGTCAACATGGTGAAACCCCGTCTCTACTAAAAATACAAAAAATCAGCTGGGCATGGTGGCACATGCCTGTAATCCCAGCTACTCAGGAGGCTGAGGCAGGAGAATTGCCTGAACCCAGGACGCGGAGGTTGCGGTGAGCCGAGATTGTGCCGAGCCGAGATTGCGCCATTGCATTCCAGCCTGGGTAACAAGAGTGAAACTCCGTCTCAAAAAAAAAAAAAAAAGTCATCTAACAGGGTACCTGATAACTGAGTATTTAACAAATATGTTCCATGGAGCTATCTTAGCTCACTGCAACCTCCACTCCACCCCCCTATCCTGGTTCAAGTGATTCTCCCTGCCTCAGCCTCCCAAGTAGCTGGGATTATGGGCACCTGCCACCATGCCTGGCTAATTTTTGTATTTTTAGTAGAGACAGGGTTTCCCCATATTGGCCAGTCTGGTCTCAAACTTCTGGACTCAAGTGATCCACTTGCCTTGGCCTCCCAAAGTGCTGGGATTATAGGCATGAGCTGCTGCACCCAACCCAGATCTCCAATCTTTAATGTTGTTATATCCAGATCATAATATCTAGTACTGTGCTTGTCATACCATAAACACTCTTAAATGGATTCAATTTTTCTAGCTAACTACCAGCAATTTTATCATATTTTCTAATGTTATTACCAAAGATCCTGAAGCACAAAATTTTATAAAATCATCTACACCAATTTTGTTCCAATTTTGTATCTTCTTCCTATAAGGAATATCTTGTACCAGAATTATCAAGTGAAATACAGTCTCTTTGGTCCAGAGCTGCTGACCTCTTTGAGTCTGAGGGGGCCAAAGTAATTGAAGTATCCCTTCCTCACACCAGTTATTCAATTGTCTGCTACCATGTATTGTGCACGTCGGAAGTGGCATCGAATATGGCAAGATTTGATGGGCTACAATATGGTAAGATGGCTGGCTTATTTTAATTTTAAAGTAGTTGTCACAAACATTTGAAAAGTGTACTTATTAGTGACAAAAAAGTTATTGCTTGAGATAATGTTAATGATTCAAAAAAGTTAATCATGAATCATTTTATCTTTGTCATTTTAGACTTGTACTTACACTATTTGTCATAAATATCTGTGTATGTTCAGTTTGCTTCTAGGGACTGTGAATAACTTGAAGGGATAGTATCTTGTTGTCGTATGCTCAATCTCACTAATGTAGTGCCTGATACATGCTAGGAGTTCAATAAATATTTGAATGAATGAATGAATGAGTGAACAAATGGAGTTTCCTTCTTGGTTCTTTTTTTCTGTCACCATGACCAGTCAGTCAAAAGGCAGATAGGGAAAAGAACCATAAGGGCAATTCCCTAAACTAGTGTTGGTCACAAAAATTTGAATCTAAATTAGCCAGACATGGTGGTGCATGCCTGTAATCTCAGCTACTCAGGAGGCTGAGGCAGGAGAATCACTTGACCCAGGAGGCAGAGATTGCAGTGAGCGTAGATCATGCCACTGCATTCCAGCCTGGGTAACAGAGTGAGACTCCATCTCAAAAAAAAAATAAGGGAAGCTCGGCCTGGTTTTAGCCAAAACTTTACTTACTTTCAAGTAATATTTACCCTTTTCTTGTCTTCAGGTCACAGATGTGACATTGATGTGTCCACTGAAGCCATGTATGCTGCAACCAGACGAGAGGGGTTCAATGATGTGGTGAGAGGAAGAATCCTCTCAGGAAACTTTTTCTTATTAAAAGAGTAAGACAATTCATTTAGGAATTTTCTTCATTCTTGAAACCTCAAGTAACATATCTCTATCAGGTCTTATAAGTCGAGATATTTAGTAAAGAAACAAAATCTTTATGATTTGAATTAGAAAAGACCTGTTTATGGCCCTTTTGGGTCCTTGTATTCAAAAACAAAAGAAATATTGGTACTTTAGCTAAATGATTAGTACAAACTACAGGCAGCCCTCCATATTCTCCGCATCTGTGGGTTCTGCAACCTTGGATTTAACCAAACACAAATCAAAAATATTCAAAAAATAAAATAAACATACAATAATAAAAAGCAATACCGTATAACAACTATTTATATCGCATTTACGTTGTATTAGATATTACAGTAATACAGGTATTACTAGGGATGATTTAAATCCCTAAGTAATCTAGGGATGATTTAAACTGCAAGAGGTGTGCATAGGTTTTACACAAACACTACACCCTTTTATATGAGACTTGAATATCCTCAGATTTTGGTATCCAAAGGGCTTAGAAACAAACTCCCCACCCTCCACCCCCGCCCCAGACATCAAGGGATGAGTGTAAGTGAGAAGCCATTAAGGATTTTAATCTTATTAAATGGCCCTTGGCTATTACCACATTGGCTTATTGCTGTTAGAGCCTTAAGCAGGGAGTTGTATTGTCTCTTGAAAACTGTATTGAATCAACTTAGTTTTTCCTTATATATACCTTTGCTCTAAGAAGGAATTCAAAATGACTATAACACCTCCTTCAGTTGTCTTTATTATGAGTTTATTCATAATAAAGTCCTGATCTTCTGAACAGGCCTTATCTCCTATACCTCCAGGTGTGTCTAAGAGGACATGAGAAGTATAAAAAAGCAAGATTGGTTATTTTAACGAAGAGCTTCTTGGAGTTTTTCTCCATGCCCTCAAGGGCAGAAAGCATTTTATTTTTCTGTGCATCCTCTCAGGGTCTCACTCTGTCACCCAAGCTGGATTGCAGTGGAGTGACCTCAGCTCACTGCAACCTCCATCTAGATCTCTATCTAGCCTCTATCTAGATCTCTTGGACTTAAGTGATCTTCCCACCTCAGCCTCCCAACTAGCTGAAACTACAAGCATATACCACCATGCCCAGCTAATTTTTGTATTTTTTGTAGAGACGGGATCCCACCATGTTGCCCAAGCAGGTCTCAAACTCCTGGGTTCAAGCAATTCACTCACCTCAGCCTACAAAGTGCAGGTGTTACAGGAATGAACCACCATGCTGGGCTACACGATTACTTTTTCTAAGAATATTATTTGAGGCCGGGCGCTGTGGCTCACACCTGTAATCCCACCACTTTGGGAGGCCGAGGTGAGCAGTTAGCCTGAGGCCAGAAGTCAAGACCAGCCTGGTCAACATGGCGAAACCCTGTCTCTCCTAAAAATACAAAAACTACCTGGGCATGGTAGCAGGGGCCTGTAAATCCAGCAACTCAGGAGGCTGAGGCAGGAGAATCACTTGAACCCAAGAGGCAGAGTTTGCAATGGGCCAAGATCGTGTCACTGCATTCTAGCCTGGGCAACAGAGTGAAACTCTACCTCAAAAAGTAAAAAGAATATTATTTGATGATGTTCCAGATTAAAAGACTCTTACCATATTGACAGATGCTTGTAATGACTTTGGAGTAGGAAAAGAAAATGAAATACTGCTAAGAAACTTTCTACATGAAGACTTTTATTAAGCTAAAGATGTTACATTTGCCAAATATTATAGATTAGAACCATATGGTTTATCTCAGGACACAAGTTGATCAATTCGATAGGTCATTGTAGCAGCATAAAAAGAAATAGAAGGAAAGGAGTCAGAAAGCATTTTTCATCGTCACCATTTGAGGGTTCTGATGAAAGGAAGTTAGAATTACTGCTGGTACCCTAGCTCCTGAGTCAGTTCCAAGTTGGTTAACTTGAGTGGACAAGGGTGATAGGAAAAATGGGATTTGGAATACTTTTTTTATTTTTAAAAGTCCATTTATGTGCCAGGAACTGTAGAAAGTCTTAACATTTTTTGTTGATGTGATACCTCAGTTTAGAATTTTGTTATTCGTCTGTTGCCTTTTGTTCACTAAACACAAATGTACTGAATTAGAAATTCAGAGTTTATTTTTAGTTGACATAAATATTTACTTTTATACCAAGTTTAAATCTACCTTTTGCTATTTATCTTCTATTTGTCCCATCTGTTCTTTTTTCTTTTAACCTTCTGCTTTTTTTCTTTAAATAATAATTTTTCTCTTAAAAAGATTTAAAATGAGAAAAATAGTGTCATTTATATTTACCTATATATTTAGTATTTCTGGTGCTTTTCTCTCGGCACTATAGATATAAATTTCCATCTGGTATAATTTTGTTTTTGCCTGAAGAACTTTCTTTAATATTTCTTGTAGTGTAGTCCTGTTGGCAGTGAATTCTTTCAGCTTTGGTTTATACTTAACACTCTTTATTTTGCTTTAAATTTTGAAAGATATTTTCTCTGGGTTTAAAAGCATAGGTAAGCCGGGCATGGGGTGCACTCCCATAGTTATGTCTGTTCAGGAGGCTGAGGTGGGAGGATTGCTTGAGCCTAGGAGTTCAAGGCTGTAGTGAGCTATGATCGCACCACTGCACTTAAGCCTGAGTTTCAGAGCAAGAGCCCATCTCTTTTAAAAAAAAAAAAAAAAAAGTGTAGGTTGCTTTTTCTTTCTATACTTTAAAGGTGCTGTTCCATTGTCTTTTGGCTTACATAGTTTCTGAGAAGTTACCATTCTTATGGTCATTCCTCTGTATATAATGTACCTTTTTTTCCTCTGGCTGATTTTAAGATTTTCTCTTTATTACTGATTTTCAGGAATTTGACTGTGATGTGCTTTGGTGTGGTTCTCTGCATATTTCTTCTGCATAGGGGTTTGTTAAGCAGCTTTGATTTGTTGGGTTATACTTTTTTTTTTTATTGCATTTTAGGTTTGGAGGTACATGTGAAGAACATGCAAGATTGTTGCATAGGTACACACATGGCAGTGTGATTTGCTGCCTTCCTCCCCATCACCTATATCTGGCATTTCTCCCCATGCTATCTCTCCCCAGCTCCCCACCGCCCGCTGTCCCTCCCCTATTTGCCCCTGACAGACCCCAGTGTGTGATGCTCCCCTCCCTGTGTCCATGTGTTCTCATTGTTCAACACCCACTTTTGAGTGAGAACATGTGGTGTTTGATTTTCTGTTCTTGTGTCAGTTTGCTGAGAATGGTGGTCTCCAGGTTCATCCATGTCCCTACAAAGGACACGAACTCATTGTTTTTAATGGCTGCATAATATTCCATGGTGTATATGTGCCACATCTTCCCTGTCCAGTCTATCATCGATGGGCATTTGGGTTGGTTCCAGGTCTTTGCTATTGTAAAACTGTGCTGCAATGAACATTCGTGTGCACGTGTCCTTATAGTAGAATGATTTATAATCCTTTGGATATATACCCAGTAATGGGATTGCTGGGTCATGGAATTTCTATTTCTAGGCCCTTGAGGATTCGCCACACTGTCTTCCACAATGGTTGAACTAATTTACACTCCCACCAGCAGTGTAAAATTGTTCCTGTTTCTCCACATCCTCTCCAGCATCTGTTGTCTCCAGATTTTTTAATGATCGCCATTCTAACTGGCATGAGATGGTATCTCAATATAGTTTTGATTTGCATTTCTCTAATGACCAGTGACGATGAGCATTTTTTCATATGATTGTTGGCCTCACGTATATCTTCTTTTGTAAAGTGTCTGTTCATATCCTTTGCCCACTTTTGAATGGGCCTTTTTCTTGTAAATCTGTTTTAGTTCTTTGTAGCTTCTGGATATCAGCCCTTGGTCAAATGGGTAGACTGCAAAAATTTTTTCCCATTCTGTTGGTTGCCGATTCACACTAATGACTGTTTCTTTTGCCGTGCAGAAGCTGTGGAGTTTGATTAGGTCTCATTTGTCTATTTTGGCTTTTGTTGCCAATGCTTTTGGTGTTTTGGTCATGAAGTCCTTGCCTACACCTATGTCCTGAATGGTTTTGCCTAGATTTTCTTCTAGGGTTTTTATGGTGTTAGGCCTTATGTTTAAGTCTTTAATCCATCTGGAGTTAATTTTAGTGTAAGGTGTCAGGAAGGAGTCCAGTTTCTGCTTTCTGCACATGGCTAGCCAGTTTTCCCAACACCACTTATTAAACAGGGAATCCTTTCCCCATTGCTTGTTTTTGTCAGGTTTATCAAAGATCAGATGGTTGTAGATGTGTGGTGTTGCCTCCAAGGCCTCTGTTCTGTTCCATTGGTCTATATGTCTGTTTTGGTACCAACACCATGCTGTTTTGATTACTGTAGCCTTGGAGTATAGTTTGAAGTCAGGTAGTGTGATGCCTACTGCTTTGTTCTTTTTGCTTAGAATTGACTTGGCTATGTGGGCTCTCTTTTGGTTCCATATGAAGTTTAAGGTGGTTTTTTCCAGTTCTGTGAAGAAGGTCATTGGTAGCTTGATGGGGATAGCATTGAATCTGTAAATTACTTTGGGCAGTATGGCCATTTTCACGATATTGATTTTTCCTAACCATGAACATGGAATGTTTCTCCATCTGTTTGTATCTTGTCTTATTTCGTTGAGCAGTGGTTTGTAGTTCTCCTTGAAGAGGTCCTTTACGTTCTTTGTTAGTTGTGTTCCTAGGTATTTTGTTTCTTTGTTGCAATTGTGAATGGCAGTTCATTCTTGATTTTGCTCCCTTTAAGTCTGTTATTGGTGTATAGAAATGCTTCTGATTTTTGCACATTGATTTTGTATCCTGAGACTTTGCTGAAGTTGCTTATCAGTTTCAGGAGATTTTGGGCTGAGACTATGGGGTCTTCTAGATATACAATCATGTCGTCTGCAAATAGAGACAGTTTGACTTACTCCTTTCCTATTTGAATACCCTTTATTTCTTTTTCTTGCCTGATTGCTCTGGCTAGAACTTCCAGTACTGTATTGAATA